TTTCCTCCTCTCATGTTTGAAGAAAGTGTGATAAGAAGCTTTCTCATGGGGTAAAGTGAGAACTCCAGAAATTAATACATGCAAAATGCACAGAACAGGGCCTGGCTTAGATCACAAAGCTCAGTAAGTATGGGCCCTCAAACCATGAAGCAATCGAAAATGCAGCCATTTTTCTAAGCTCCAGGGAGCTTGGAAATCCCATGTAAAAGGGCACAGGCTGAGGGCAGACACTTCCGTCATGGTTTTGGGAGGAGAACGACGGTGATTACGGCGTGCCGTAGTATTAGAGGCGGCAATCTCCTGGCCTGGATCCACCCTCTTGCCCCATCTCTTTCCCCCAGGAAAACCACCTGGCTGCAGGGATGTTCTTGGCTGTATTTGGTGGAGTAGGGAGGTCATGGATTGAAAGAAAGGTGAGAGAATTAAAAAAAAAAAAAAAAGACTGTATCTTTACACACCCTAAAGAGACCAAGAACACAGGTCTGTTTTGTGGATAATGTTGCATCTGTCCAGAGTAACTGCTACATCCATGCTATTGCAAAGTGACCAAAAGAGGAAGGCAGAGCTGCCACCTCAGGAAGGGTGAAAGTGGAGCCACAAAAGGAACAACACGTAACCTGCAGGGACAGCATCAGTGCCGTAGCTGGGACGTCACAGATGGTACAGTGAGAACAAATGCAGTCCTTGGCACAGGACAGTCATGTCTGAGGGATCACGTGAGACATGCTCAGGACTCCAGCAGTGAGCCAGGGAGAGCTCTGAGCTGGGGTTGCAGACACACCACTGAGGGTGGCTAGATAATAACCGAATTTCCCAGTTGTTCCTGAGGTTGGCATGACCTGGAGAAATGGGTGACACACAAACATACACAGTGATCACTTGTTTATTTTCACCTAAACTCTCAGCATATACAATGATAGTTTTGTACCATGATTTTTTCACTTGTGAATTCATTCATTCATTAGCTCAAGAAGCATTTATGGAATACAAATCCTCAGCTAGACTCGTGGTAGTTGCTAGAATCCATACCTTGCATATTTGTTAAATGAATGAAAGTTGCATTCTAAAGAGAATGACTGACGTGAAAATAATATTATAAAGCAATAATATAATAGACATAAATAAAATAATAGGGGATCAGAGAAGAGAGACAATTACTGTCCTGGGTGAGCTGGGTGAGCCTGAGAAGAGGGCGGGATAGAAAGCAGGGAGGAGCGAGAGCACCCACTCGCGTTCTCAAAAGATCTGCTTTCAGGAAAAGAAATCAACAGAGACAAGAGGGAAGGAGGGAGGGCAGGGAAAAGGAAAGGGAAGGGGAAAGTCAAGGAACATATAGCAAAGACTCATGGACAAAACCAAAGGGAAAGAGCTGAGGGAGGGAAGGAGGGAGGGGGCAAGGGAAAGTGGTGGCGGGGAGGCAGAGACAAATGTATTTGAAAAAATAAATTAAAATAAAATTAAAAAAAAAAAAAGATCTGCTTTCAGCTCTGCACTTACTGCGGTGTGGTGCCGAAATGTATGTGGCCTTCATAGCTTCCGTTTCTAAATCTATAATGTGGGAATATTTCTCTGGGTTTTTGTAAGGATTAAATATGATAATATGGGCAAACAGCTTGCCAAATGTCTGATACAAGTTAAATGCTCAGTAAGTGGTACCAGTGGTTGTACTGTCGTTGTCCTTATTTTGTCAGTACATGTACCTTCCAAGAAGGCCAAAGCTAACCTTTGGACTTGGTTCTGTGTTTCCACTGCAGCAACGTGGGGTCCTTAGACCGGCAGCATCAGCTTTACCCAGACACTTTGTCATGCAAATCTTTGAGGCCCACTTCAAAATGACTGAATCAGACACCTCAGAGGTGGGGACCAATAATGTGTGTTTTAACAACTCAATAATGTATATTTTAACAGCCTTTTATGTGTTTCTATTGTTTGAGAACCACTACTGTATAAGTAGAAGGTACAGTCCAAATAAATCAATAAATAAGGCCCACACAAGGCAGAAAGTGGAGACATTATGAGAACTAAAACCAGTAGCCCAGACAAATGACTTGTGACAAGCACAAGGAAAGAAGGCACTTGCCATACCTTGCATTATCTCCATGTTAAAAATGCATTAATAATTATCGTATTTTTTATTGTTTAAGGTGACAGAATGAAAAAGAATCTGGTGTTTACCCTTAGATATTGAAGAATCAGACTCATTTTTACCATTAATGTTCCTGCCCTGGGCACTGGGCACCTCTTGAAGCAAATATTTACACAATTCCTGAAGGATTATGAAGCACTTCCTTTCCTTATTCATTACAAAAAGCATCTTCACAGTATAATAATGATAATGATGAGAATTGTTGGCCTCCAGTTCTTGGACACTTTTCCCATTAAAACATGCTGTCTATATTCCCTCCCTCCCTCGGATGTGAGCAGGCTGTGCCTTCTTTGACGGAGGCGGTGTGATGTAAGTGACACTGTGTGGCTTTGGAGGGCAGGCTACACCCCAGGCCGCTCAGGACCCCCTCCAAGGCAAGCCTTCTAAAAGGCTGGCAGCCCCACCCTGAGAAGCCTGAGCCACCTGGAGGGGCCAAAGGAGGATCTCCAGTCACCAGTCCCTGCCCAGCCAGCGGCCAGGCAGGTGAGTGACAAACTCTCCAGAGGAGCCTTGTCTCTGGCTGTGTGGGGCACCCCCAGCTGGTCCAGCCTTCCCAGCTGAGACCACGGAAGTCGTGGAGCTGAGATAAGCTCACTCCGTTGTAGCCTGTCCAAAATCCTGACACAAGATCCATGACCGTAATAAAAGTGCCCATTTTACAGCACTAAATTTGGGGTGTTTTGTTGTGCAGCAGTAGGGAAGTGGAACAAATAAGCCCAGTAAGTACCATTTGTGAAGGACCTTCCCCGTGCTGAGCATTACGCCTTGCTTTATATGCTGCGCCTCCCACCCGCTCAGCTGCTCCGCAGAATACTGTGTGTCACCCCCATTTGCAAGAGAAGAAACGGAGTCTCCAAGATAAGTATGATTCATGAAAGGGCACGCATCTGGTAAGTGACCAGTTCATGTCAAAATCCAGTGCATAAAAACCCAAATGTCAGTCTTTAACCACATAAAGATGACAATAAAGAGATGGCCAAAACTAAAAAGTAATGACAAGATTATACTTTTTTTCTTTAATTGAAAAAGAGTAATGTTTTTTATATGGAGAATTTAAACCTTTTATCTACTTATCAGATTTAAAATAATTAATTCATTAATTACAATTACTATACCATTATAATATAGAATATATAATGTCAACATTAATAATTTGATTTAATTTCTTTGGCCATAATTATGAGATATTTGTCATGAAAATTACAGAAATTTGTGTCCCAGACAAGGCCAACTAGAGTAAAATTAACTTGTCTACAGAGCATCACTAACAGCAAACTAGTAAAGATCTGAGCACATTTATGAAGCAAGAAAGGGTGCTTATAAGTTCAGTGGACATCCGATAATATTTAATGGCTCTATAGGACTTTTTCCAATTTCATTGTGAAGTGAAGGATATTTACACAATTATCCTATGGGTATTATTTTTATATGTGGCAAATGAGAGCCTTTTAATTTAATATATATATGCATTTCTACACAGTCTACATATGATTACAACCAGCTTATAGCTATGGCATTTTAAATTTCTTACACCTGCAAGAAGAGAGAGAGAGAGAGAGAGAGAGAGATGAAAGATAAGGAAGAAACATCAATCAGCTGTAACTTTTTGGTGCTTTGGTGCACAAGATAATGCTCCAACCAAATGAACTACCTGGCCAGAGCAAGAAGTTAAAAACAACCTAAATATCTAACAAATGTGGGAAGAGTTAATTACTGTATGCACACAATGGTTTTCTTGTTACCATTAAAAATGATGGCTATGAAGACTGTAACAACATTTAAGTAAAATAATAGGATAAAAATAATTTAATTGTAACATTATAATAATCTAAGAAAGCCAAGGACATAGAAAAATACTACAAGATAACAACTCAACAAGTGAAAGAGTGCTGGCTCTATTTTCCAAATTTTCTATAGTGTATTGATTTCACAATTTAAAATAGAGTTAAGAGTCACAATTGGTTTCAAGTCCATAGAAGTGACTTAAAAGGCATGTGACAAAGCCAGGTATAGGTGTACATATATTTTTTAAAATTGAGATAATTGACATCTAACATTGTGTACGCTGAAGGTGTACAATGTGTTGATCTGATACATTTATATATTGCAATATAATTACCACCACAGTGCTAGCTAACACCTCTATCATGCCAAATAGTTTTCATTTCTTTTATAATAGTTTCTTTTTTGTGGTGAGTATAATTAAGACAGTGTCTCTTAGCAGCCTTGAGGTTTATAATCCAGCGTTGCTAACTATGGTCATTAGGCTGTGGATTAGAGCTCTAGGGTTTATTTATCTATTAGTCACAAGTTGGTACCTTTAAACAACATCTCCCCAAGTCCCCCGCATTCCAGCCCATGGTAACCACAATTCTACTGCTTTAAGGAGATTTTTTTTTTTAGATTCTAAATATAAATGACATCATACAGTATTTGTGTTTCTCTGACTTAATTTCACTTTGCATAATGTCCTCAAGGTACATCCATATTGTTGCAAATGGCAGGATTTCCTTCGTTCTCATAATTGTATAATATTCCAGTGTGTGTGCGCGTGTGTGTATACACTACATCTTCTTCTTTTACAGTGTAAAATTTTTATATTTAGAATTAGCCAGCTGTCCCTGGCCAGTTGTCTCAGTTGGTTGGGTATTGTCCTGTAAACTGAAGGGTTACAGGTTCCATTTCCAGTCAGAGCACATGCCTGGGTTGTGTGTTTGGTCCCCAGTCGGGGCACATGCAGGAAACAGCTGATCAATGTTTCTCTTCCTCTGTGTCTCCATGCCTTCCCCGCTCTCTAAAATCAATAAAAATTAAAAAAAAAAAAAAAAAAAAGAATTAGCCAGCTGGGCTCAGTTTAGATGATTCCGATTTTGTTGGCAACATCCAAAGCATCATAGGCGAGAGCCAGTTGAAAACATGCCTTCTTCCCTCCGTCAGGCCTGACCAGGCCGTTGGCCTGGGCTGCATCACTGTCACAGAGCCTCTTCACAGCCTGTTTGATCTGAGGCTTGTTGGCCTTGGCATCCACTATGAACACAAGTGTGTTGGTGTCTCCTGCCTTCTTCGTGGCTGCCTCAGTAGTCAGCGGGACCTGGGTGATGGCATGACAGTCAAGCTTCTCCTGGGGACTCTCTTCTGAGAATATCTGGTCTGCCTTCAAAGCTGCAGTGTCTTCAGCTGTCAGAATGTGGGTGACGTGCAAATCTTGTTTTCTTCATGGCTGTGGATGCATTTCAGAACTGCTTTTTTTGCTTTCAAAGCCTTTGCTTTGGCTTTTTTTTGGTGGGGGGCAAGGGAACAGGGTCTTCCTTCTTCACTTTTGGTGCTATCTTCATGAAAAGCCACATCTTCTTTGTCCATTCATCCTTTGAGGAACATTTAGATTGTTTCCATATCTTGGCTATAGTGAATAATGCTGCCATGAACAGGAAGCACAGATTTCTATTTGAGATCCTTCATTTCCTTTGAATATATACGCAGAAGTAGAATTGCTGGATCCTTTGGTAGCTCTATTTTTAATATTCTGAGGAACCGCCATACCATTTTCCATGGTGGCTGAACTAATTTAAATTCTCACTAATAGTACACAAGGATTCCTTTTTCTCTGTTGCCTTGTCAACATTTATTACCTCTTATCTTCTTGATGAAAACTTTCTAATGGGAATGAAGTGAGATGTCATCATGGTTTTGATTTGCATTTCCGTCATGAGGTGAGTGATGTTGAGCACCTTTTCATGTATTTGTTGGCAATTTGGGTGTCTAATTTGGAAAAATGCCTATTTGGATTCTCTGTGCATTTTTTTAATCAAAGTTTTTTTTTTTTGTTATTGAGTTGAATGGGTTCTTTATATATTTTAGATATTAACCCTCTATCTGATAGATGATTTGCAAATATTTTCTCCCACTCCATATGTTACCTTTTAAATGAATTCTAGTGTGAAAGCTTTTCACCAAGAGGGGAAAAGAGGCTCTTCTCTTCCCCACTCAGTTGTGACTTTACTCTCGAAAACACTGTTGGGGATCAATCTGAAATGGGGGACAATTTAAAGTGAAAAGTGCATGGCAACAGTTCCTTGTCTTTCTTGCCGAGACTCTAAAGTTCTTAGTGAAAAGAAAATGCAAACTAAAATGTATCTTTCATATGTTGTTCCTTACTGACAAATTTTATGATGATTATTTTATTGTAAAATTGATAACGTAATTTATTTGTTCTTTTTTAAATTATGCTCAGTAACTTTGCAGGGAGCGTTTTTCTTATCATCAGCTAATTATTTTCTTTTCTTTTTTTTAAAAAAAGATTTTATTTATTTATTTTTTGAGAGAGGGAAAAGGAGGAAGAAGGAGAGGAACCGAAATATTGATGTGAGGGAGGAACATGATTGGCTGCCTCTTGCACACATCCCAACTGGGGACTGAACCCGCCACCCAGGCCTGTGCCCTGACCAGGAACCAAACAGGCGACTTTTGCCCTGTGGAACCATGCCCAACCAACTGAGCTGCACCAGTGAGGGCCAATTTTGTTTTTTTAAAAATTTTCTGGAGGCAACTACTGCAATTAAGAATTTAGCATTATCTGTCTTGGTTCAGAACTGATTCATTATTACACTTTACAACCAAGAATATATTTTTATTTCTGCAAATTATTTTGAAGACTAAATGCTTTATAAAAAATAGTAATGAAACTTTGGCTTACAAAATTATGACCTTAGCAATGGTAGTACACGCCCTCTTTATATTGCACTGACTAATGGGGAAGAAAAAAATAAAAATATTACATAAGATTTGAGTAAAACTTGGCTTATCTCATAAGCTATTTGTTAAAAACTAACCATATACAGGAAAATCTCGATAAATTCCCTAAAGTAGAAACTGTACAGGCTACATCTTCTAAACAAAGTATATAAAAATAGAAATTAATAAAAAAGATTAAATAAGTTTAAAAATCCTTAAGAGAAAAGCATTTTCCTAACAATTTAGCGATCAGAGAAGAATGTCTCAAAAGAATTTCAAACTAACCACAATGAAAGCTACATATACATGTATGTAATTTAACCAGAGTCAAATTCGGAGGAAATGTTGGGGAAATAATGAGAGACTTCCACAATAACAATAATTAAAACAGAACAGTAACAGCGTAGGAATAAAGTGAATAATAATGTCACTTAGAATGCAGAAATATATTTAAGAACATTGAAGAATTTGCTCCTTAATAATCTTAACAATCTAACACATAAAATGAAATACAGTCTTAATTTTTGTGGTTAGCGTATTATAGAATCTTTGTTTTGTACCTACTTTACCACTTATTTCTGGAATAAAAGTGACGGTGAATTTGCCATTTCATAAAAATGACTTAATCATTTCAGCTGTGATCCAGATTATTTCAGGGTTGATGCTCCCTGATCTTTGTTTTTTATAATCGTTACTCCTATTATCCAGTCTCTGAAGACAATGAACGAAGCAGAACCTCTTACTTAATTTATGTCTCTATCTTCCTCTTCACTTGAAGCCCTGCATTTAGATTTCTCGTGATCTGCAGGGCATTTCCAACCGCTAGAGGTTCAACTGCAACAGAACCCCATTCTAGCTACCTCTTCTCTACTCCATCCCCGTTTCCCCTGGCTTGCCAGTATAGGTGGTGGTGCAGCAAGATTCAAGTCAGAGGTTGTCTTGAGGGCAGCGTAGAAAAGGCTGTGGGTGAAAAACCAGATTCTGGGGAAGGAGTGGAACAAAGAGCGCAGTGAAGTGAAGCCTGGAGTGGATGTCTGGGCAGAGGACACCAAAGTCAAATGAAAGAGCTACCGGGATTGCGAAATGAAAACAAGCCCCACATTAGGAAGTGGGAAAGGATATGAGACAAAGGCCAGAACACGGTAGCAGAAGAAACACCATTAGAGTGGGCTAACTTAATAGCTGTGGATGTTTGTGATGACGAGGCTCGGCCTTGCAGCTGAAAGAAGCCGGCCAGACACAACCAGCCCTCCCCCAGATAACAACCTCTGTCCTGCCCCAAACCAGCCTACCTTCATCTCGACCTATAGCCTGACTAGCTCCCCTCAATCCTTCTTCTCAGGAGCTCCAGAGCACTTGTTAACTTGGTTCCCAAGGTCGCCGGTCTGAGCAGTCAGTGTGTCATGTCAATTCGACCTTACTAATGCCATTGGACTTGCACCATTTTTTCCACATCTGCCCCCCTAGTTCAGCTCTTCCACAGGTCTTACCAGGACTCTGCCATCTGCTTACTATTTATTTCCATATTTCTAGTCTTTCCCTCTTACATCCAGTGTCCATAATGCTACCAGTTTTCTTTCTAAAACTCTGTTCTGTTCCTATCTTTTCCAATAGCAAATTTTGCAATAGTTCTTTGCTGTCTGTAGAATATAATCTAAACCTTTAATGTACATGGCTTTTAAATTCATCCACAGTCCAAGCCCATCAACCTCTCCAAGTTCAGCTTTTAGACATAACCCAGGTCTTCCTATAAAACCTACTTTGCTGTTATGTCTACAATTTTCTTTAAAATCTCCTGGCACACCAAATGCTTTCACTTAATGTACTGAAGTCAGAGCACAGATTGCTTCTAATGCTTTTTTTCATCTTCCCAGTGGTTAGAGCATCATCTTGAACACAGGCCCTGTGCTCCATATTTAAAAAAATAGCTTTATTAAGATATGATTCACATAATATACAACTCACCCACTGAAAGCGTGTAATTCAATGGTTTTTAGGTATTCACTGGGTTGCGCAACCATCACCACAATCGAATTTTAGAATACTTTCTTCTCCCCTAAAAGAAACCCCATACCCTTTAAGCAGCCACTTGCCATCCACCCTCCCCCTCCCCAGGACTAAGAAACTATCACTCTACTTTCTCTTTATATAACTTGCCTATTCTGGACATTTCATATAAATGAAATCATACAATATGTGGTCTCTTTGTAGCTGACTTCTTTCACTTAGCATAATGTTTTCTTTTTTAAAAAATTTGATATAATCATTATTATATATTTTTCCATTACCATTTAGTCCCCTTATACTTTCTCCCCCCAGCAAGTTCAGCCATACTGTAACATGCATCAGCATGTCATTTCTTTTTATTGCTGAGTACTTCACTGTATTGAAACATCACATTTTGATTATGCATTTCATTTATCAGTTGATGGACATTGGAGTTGTTTCCGCATTTCACCTAGTGTGAATTATGCTGCTATAAAAACTTGTGTACAAGATTCTGCATCTGTATGTTTTCATCTCCCTTGGGATTCCTAGGAGTGGAACTGCTGGCCTCTACAGTAACTTTATATTTAACTTTTGAAGAACTGCTAGGCTTTTTCCAAAGCTATGGAATGATTTTACATTATACCAGCAGCATATGAAGGTTCAAATTTCTCCACAGCCTCATCCATACCTGTGTCTGTCATTTTGATGATAGACATCCTAGTGAGTGTGAAGTTCTCACAGTAGTTTTGATTTGCATTTCTCATGTATAATGCTGTTGAGCATCTTTTCATGTGGTAATTATTGGTAATTTCTATACCTTCCTCAGAGAAAAGTCTACTCAGATCCAAGTTTTAAAAGGGATTATATATTATATCTTTAAAATATATTATTATGTTGTTTTTACAATAGAGTTCTTTCTATATTCTGGATGCAAGTCCCTTATCAGATATATGCTTTGCAAATTAAGTATTTTCTCCCATTCTGTGCACTGTTTTTAATCTTTATACTTTCTTGATGGCACTGTTTGCAGCACAAAAAAAAAATTTTTTATTGTGCATTTGGTGTTATATCCAAGAAACTATTGCTTCATCCAAAGTCATAAAGATCTACTCCTTTCCCTTCTTCTAAGAGTTTCATAATTTTAGCTTTTACATTTAGGTGTGTAGTCCATTTTGAGTTAGTTTTGTGTAGTATGAGTCATTATTTTTTAATGGGTGCTATTGAGAGCACAGTGTTTTATAATTAAAGGACCCGCACTCCCCAATGCACATTCAATCAAACTATACTCACTGCATCATTTGCAAAAATGTACACAGCAGTAAACATGGCGCTACGATAAAAATAAAAAGAAACTGTATCAGTGAGTACTGTACTACTATATCCAGGAGCAATCCAAATGGATTTTGGGTACATTTATGATTACTCCCTGCAAAGAACTGACTCCCCCAAAACTGGTT